ATGTAAATATTAGTTTCGAAGATTTTCCCAAAAATTGTCGCACACCATCTCTAACAAAGACAGGTTAAATTTCAAACCATGATGGGTGAACATCCGGTATCAAAACAAACATATCCTGAAAATTTCAGCTAAATCAGTTCAGTAGTTTCCGAGTATATAGCTCATAAACAAACACACAAACATTGATTTTTATATTTAAAGATATACACACATACATACTTATATAAATATGTAGGTATGTGTGCTGCACCGGCAAGCGGGCGGGTGGCAGGTAATGAGTGTATGTATTTGTTAATATAACTACTACGCGTTTCAGTATGCGAGCTGAATTTTATTAATACAGAGCTAATGGTATTTTGGCTATGGGACGCCATTAGCACGCTTCTTGTAGGGAGTCGGCAGTCTGAAAACCAAGTTCGAGGTGTCTCCTCGTGCTAAAGAACTGCATGGCTGTTGGGTGAACAGTCGTTAAAGAAGGCAGTCAGGTCGTTGTAGGGGCGACACTTGCTGGTGGATGTAATGTCCTAAGTCCCTTCCCCAGCTAATAGTGAGGGTACTGCTGGGGTGACTGTTTGTTTATTAACCCTCACATAATAGTCAAAATGGATGCTAGGCACAGCCACTTTTTTGAGCCGTGGCAAATTTTTGTTGTTGCTTCTGCCAGATGGTGGCTGTAGCATTTTTGCTCCACCTGTAGACTAGAAAGATAGTTTCACTGCCCAGCTTCTGAGTTGAGTGCATGGTGTAACACTGTGAGCTGCGGATTTCCTTTGGAATGTTTTTCAACTGTGACCAACGTGGTAGCGTGAATTGTACATTTAGAAAATGGCACGATGCCAGTTGTCGTAATATTGGTGGTGACATTATGTGATTAAAATTGATTGCATATGCAACTGCTGATCTGTTGGTGACTTCTGCTAGTCACTAGTGCTACCATCCATGATGAACTACATTTCTAATGTCGGACTGTTTGTGTTAGCACTTCAGATGGCTACCATATGCTTTTAATACGTGTGTATGCTAGTGCATATGCTGAGACAGCAGTCTGTCAATCTTTCCACAAGGGACTGTGATAAACATTTTGTGTGTTTGTCGTTGGCACAGGAGCGGAGCAATATGGGTGACTCGTTTGCTATGAAGCTGAAACTAAGATTGCTAGATTACCAAACAAACTGGTCTAACAAGAACGTGCTAGAAGAAACATACGTAAACAAATAAACAAGCTAGGAAAATTATGAGTCAACATCTAAACAAGCTGGGAGAAACATGAGTGAACAAATGAACAAGCTGGGATAAACATGAAGTAAATTATCATAAATAAGCATTTGTTTTATTCAAATGGATTCATAATTCTCTGTGAAAAATAATCAAGGATGTATAAGATTAACCCCAACCCCTCCCCCCAAAAAACCCTATTTGGACAGTCTATCCCATATAGAGCTCCCTCCCTCCCCCGGTTTGTGCTGTCCTGTCACAGATTACCTAGGCATCACAGGCATCAACTACTAGCATATAGTTACAGCTCACCAGTCACTTATTCTTTCTCCCTCTCTCTCTCATGCACACACATTATCTTCTCAAACCTGGATACAAATCCAATTACAAGCGCTCAAAAACATGCTGACCACACTACACCTTATCTATATCTGGACTGCTGGACACACGTGGTCTTAACCATGGTTGGCTGAGCCCAACATGGACACAAGACCAGAATGACCAAAACTGCAGCCATATATACTTTAGATTTAAATGGAGACAACACAATATTTCCTACAAAGACTGCTTGACTATAAGTGACAAGAAAGAGCTTCCTGTGGTACTTCGTACATAAAAATCAACATAAAACTGACACAAACACCAGCAACTGTGAGGACAGGCCCCTCAACAAATCTGCTGCCATAGCTACAATCAAGGTTGCTCCACTGTCTGTTTTCTTCTTACCTGCTCCCTCTAGTATCATTTTTAACAAGATTGCTATGTCTTTTAATGTGACTGAAATTTTTCATTTGTCTCCTTTTTAATTCAAGAAGTCTCTTTTTGCTGAGTTGCTCTAGGACCTGTCTTTAGCTATTGATGTTGCCATCAAATACGGCCTGTTACTCTGTATATTCACATCTACAGAGCACTATTTAACTTTCAAAATGCTTGCTCCTTATCCAGGTTGCTGTAACATATATTAAAGTTGATATTTGACTGTTTTCATCTGTAACATCCCCCCCCCCCCCCCACTGTAGTAACTAAACCCAGTTATAATGTTGTAGTAACTAAACCCTGCAACCCCCCCCCCCCCCCCTTCCGTGAAGTAACTAAACTCAGCAACCCCTCCGTTGTAGTAAACTAAACCCCACCCCCCCCCCCCCCCCCCCCCACCCAGCCCCCCCCCCCCCCCCCCCCCCCCCCCCCCCTGTAGTAACTAAACCCATGCTGAAGGTCTTAAACCAATCCTACACTGCAAACCCTCAAGCCAGTTATCATCTCTAACCCAATTTCCATGTTGTTGACACTAAACGTAATCCCCATTGTATAAATTCTCAAGACATTCCCCAGGTTGTGGACACTAAACCCAATCCCCATTGTATCAATTCTCAAGACATTCCCCATGTTGTGGACACTAAACCCAATCCCCATTGTATACATTCCCCATGTTGTGGACACTAAACCCAATCCCCAATGTATAAATCCAGTCTCCATATGCTTCAGCAAGATCCAGCTGTGTTTCTAGCAGACCTTCATGCAAACATAAGTATGACAACTATGTACAGAGGGTGTTTTCATTTCAGCAATATCGGTTCTTCTGACAATCATCATCAAGTGCTGTGCTGATGTGATCAAGCTTCATGCATGCATTCATAGTCTCCCAGGAAGATGCAGATATATGAAAAGATGTAGTTGTTCAGTAGAAAATGTTGATGGACAACAAGTATCAAAAGACAAGGCAGGCTTCCAGACAGCATCACTCATAGCAATGTACAAGATCTCCAGAAGGACTTCTTCTGTGGGCCTCCATCTTTGAGCTGGTAGCCCCCCGGCTTGGCTGGGCCTGAGATATCCTGAAATTAGCACCAGAGTGACACCATTAGCAACTGTCAGACAGACAACATTAGCAACTGTCAGGGTGACAACATTAGCAACTGTCAGACAACATTAGCAACTGTCAGGCTGACAACATTAGCAACTGTCAGACTGACAAGACAACATTTGCAACTGTCAGACAGACAGCGTTAGCAATGGTCAGACAGACAACATTAGCAATTTTCAGACTAACAACATTAGCAACTGTCAGACAGACAACATTTGCAACTGTCAGACAGACATTTGCAACTGTCAGACTAACAACATTAGCAACTGTCAGACTAATAACATTAGCAACTGTCAGACTGACAACATTAGCAACTGTCAGACTGACAACATTAGCAAAGGTCAGACTGACAACATTAGCAACAGTCAGATAGACAACATTAGCTTCTGTCAGACTGACAATATTAGCTTCTGTCAGACTGACAACATTAGCTATGATAGACTGACAACATTAGCTTATGTCAGAATGACAACATTAGCAGATGTCAAAATGACAACACCAGCTTCTGTCAGAATGAAAACATTAGTTTTTGTGGACTGACTACATTAGTTTCTGTCAGACTGACAACATTAGTTTCTGTCAGACTGACAGCATTAGCTTCTGACAGACTGACAACATTAGTTTCTGTCAGACTGACAACATTAGCTTCTGACAGTCTGACAACATTAGGTCCTTTTTAAACTGACAATATAAGCAACTGTCTGACTGACGACATTAGCTTCTGACAGACTGACAACATTAGCTTCTGACAGACTGATAACATTAGCTTCTGACAGACTGACAACATTAGCTTCTGACAGACTGACAACATTAGCTTCTGACAGACTGTTAACATTAGCTTCTGACAGACTGACAACATTAGCTTCTGTCAGACTGACAATATTAGCTTCTGACAGACTGATAACATTAGCTTCTGTCAGACTGACAACATTAGTTTCTGACAGACTGATAACATTAGCTTCTGACAGACTGACAACATTAGCTTCTGACAGACTGATAACATTAGCTTCTGACAGACTGATAACATTAGCTTCTGTCGGACTGACAATATTAGCTTCTGACAGACTGACAACATTAGTCTCTGACAGACTGACAACATTAGCTTCTGACAGACTGATAACATTAGCTTCTGACAGACTGACAACATTAGCTTCTGACAGACTGATAACATTAGCTTCTGTCAGACTGACAATATTAGCTACTGTCAGACTGATAACATTAGCTTTCTGTTAAGACTGACAACATTAGCATATAAGCCATCAACTGCAAGAGATGTGGCATGAAATACACAGGTGAAATGGTCTACGACTGGTTGACAGGTTCAGACAACATCTTTTGGATGTGCAGAATGGTGCCTTGAAACCAGTACCATTGCATTTTAATTCCCAAAATCACCAAGGTTTACAAGACATGGAGGTAGCCATCAAATCTAGCCACTCCAGCAACAGAGTCTGCAAGTGACTTGAAAATCACTTTATCTTCACTATGGGCAGGTTAACACCTAGAGGACTGAACTGCCAACACAGTTTCATTTAAAATCCTGGAGTCTGAGCTGCCCACACAGTTTTAGCGAAAAACCTCTATTTACTGATCCTTTAATTCCCTGAGGAAGGGGGAAGGTGTTCGATCTTGTCTACTAGCAAGACATCGACCTGGCTGCTTCGAGATACTAAGCTAAGTGATTTTGTGTATTTGTGTGGTATTGTTTGATTTACATATGTGCTGACAAAGGCTCCATTGCCACAACGTTCATGTTTTGTTTGTGTCTGTTATACTGTGAAGCTTGCTGACATGTTTTGTGTTCAGTTTTATATCTTTTTTTGCCACAAGAGACACACTCACTGTGTGAATAAAGACTCACACAAGAGAAACACAAATTGTGTGAATGAAGACATACAAGATTGGGGGGCCTGATACTCACAATCTTCCTATCCATCTTAGATTTGATGTCACGGGCCAATGTAAAAAATGCTTCTTCCACGTTGATGCTGGCTTTAGCACTGGTTTCCATAAACTTGATACCGTGTTCGATAGCGAGCTAGTGGAGCAAATATCAACGTTACCTGTGTTAACAGATGACTTCACAGACAACTAATAATAATACTGAATGTTTAATGGTTAGATGTCTTTAAAAAAAAAAGGCAACTATTAATATGTGTGAATCAAGGACATTTTCTTTTCTTTTTCTGCCTTCTATCCCCAATGGAGCATAGGCCCTCAAATAACTCACGTCAAGTCTTTTGCTATTGCGAGCAGCTCTCCCAATGTCTATCCTATCTTCTTAAATTCACTCTTTAGCATCTTTCTCTGTGTCTCTTTAGACTGCCTTTAGTTATTATTTGCCTGCTTGAATCATCATCATTAAGTGCTGGCGATCATTCCTCTCCACAATCTGCAACTGCGTGTATAAGTTCACGTGGTGACATCCCTCAATGCCATGACAAAAGACTGGCAAGAATTATTTCATGCTGTCTTCCTCTGTCTCTTTTCCCAGAGATCTTTCCAGTGGTTACAAAATGTTCAATTTTCCCTCTTCTCATTACATAACCCAGAAATGATGACTGTCTCTTTCTGATGTTTGTGATAAGTTGTCTTTGAACTTTCACCTCTTTCAAAACATCTGGGCGGCTTTTCTTAGCTGTCCAAGGAATTATGTAAAACCACACCTCTGCAGCCTCAAGATACTGTTGGGCTTGTTTATTAATTGTCCAGACTTCACAGCCGTATGTTAACATTGGCTCTATATAGCTTGCGAGAATTTGTTTCCTTACCTTCAATTGCAAAACGCTCTTCATTTTGTAAAATGCAGTTTTGGCCTGTGATAAATCTTGTATTGGATGTTATCCATGTGCCTAGATGCTTAAATTTATGTACTTGTCCTAGAATAACTAACACCTTTGACTTTATTTTACATTTAAGCACTATTTTTTGTCGTGGACATCACCATTACTTCTGTCTTTCCATTATTTATACTAAATCCCATTTTATCACTTTCTACCACCACCGCTTCTATAAATTCCTGTAGTTCTTTCTGACTTGTTGCTATCAAGGCGTGTCATCAGAATAATGGTCGTCTATGTTATGTCCACCAACCACAATTCCTGGTATATACATGATTATCTCATTATATATTCACTGTATAATGCAAACAAATCTTTATCAAATGCTTTAGTCTAATCAATAAAGCACAAATACAGATATCTATTCAAGTCAATCATTCTTTCTGAAAGTATTGTCAATACCATTTACGTTAATTGATAGTTGTACAAACATAACATTGCTTTGTAACATAAAGTATATTGCAATTTCTGTCTGTGAGAGCAACGCCTCTACCGGGCCGGTTGTACTAGCCACTTTGCCTATAGAGGCATCCTCTGCCCAGAACAGCTGAAGTGATGACCAGTACTGAAAACCTGTTAGCTGCTCACCACACTTATCCATCACCTGCCTGCCATGACTTCATGTAACTCTGATTGGGAGGCTAAGGGGGTACTCTACCCCTTGCCATGTGGTATCTCACAGGCTAGCAGAGGGAAGGAGGTGGCTTACATCTCCTGTTGGTAGGATTTACCCTACCTTGCTACCAGCAGCACTTTAAAAAGAGGAAAATCAAGGATGGGTCAGACTGAATTCATTATTTAACAGGTGTGTCCACTTGAGGACATAGAACCTGCTGAGGAATAGGTATAAGTACTAACAGAGTGCTCTATGACCTTTTCTGTTTCGTATCTGACTAGACAGTGAATGCAGACAAGAAAGTCCAGCTGCTGCTCAGGCAGAAGTGCAGGCTTTGATCTTGGAGAATTCCCTAGAGAGGATTGCTGTCATTGACACAGATGGCAAGGTCCTCCAAAAGAAACCCTAAAACAAAAGATTATGTAGGAGCCCAGGGATCCTGGACAGGATTCCCTCCACAATTTTGAACTAATCGGAATGGAGGAACAGACTGTGAGCCCTATGTGAGATAACTGCATAACAGGACAATGAAATGAAGATTGTATGTTATAAATGTATTACCATATGCTTGAACTCTCATCTAGATAAGAGGAATTTCTGATAAAAACAATTTCTCAGGTCACTGGTGAGTTCACCTTATCAGGTGCGCACTGTATCATGGTTAAAAAGATAAATACCTGCTGGCAACACAGCGAGCCTGGTGATAAATGCTTTAGCTGTTAGGGACATACCTGTTCCCCTCTTTCCTTGGACACCTGTCTTCTGTCTTGTAGATCACATTTGTTGCCCAGCATCATCTTCTCCACATCCTTGGAAGCATGCTACAACCAACCAACAACAACAACATTACATGTGCCGCCTAACAGAAGAAATCAGCTTCAATGTCACAATGATAGGTTGCTGTCAAGTACCCACATGTCACAATGAAGAGTTGCTATCAAGTACATAAATTTCAAAAAGATAGGTTGCTATCAAGCACCCAAATGTCACAAAGAGGGTTCCTGTCAAGAACCCAAATGTCACATGGAGAGGTGCCGTTAAATACTCCAATGTCACAAATATGCTTTGCTGTAAGTACCAAAATGTCACATGGAGAGCAGGAGTTCCTGTGTATATGTGCATCTCTGTGTGTATGTCTCTGTGTATGTCTCTGTGTGTGTTTGTCTGTATGTCTCTCTGTGTGTGTTTGTCTGTATGTCTCTCTGTGTGTGTATTGTCTCTAGGTGCATCTGCATGTGTGTGTCTGTGAGTGTGTGTTTGCATGTATCTATGTGTGTTTGTGCATTTGTGTGTGTGTCCGTATGTGTGAGTCTGCATGTGTGTCTGCGGGTTTGTGTGTCTGCATGTGTGTGTCTACCTGTGTCTGCGTCTGTTTATGTGGGTTGTCTATGTGTACATGTGTGTATCTGTATGTATGTGTGTAGAATGTGCATGTATGTGTGGGTAGGTAAGTATGTATGTATGTGGACAATTGGGGGCGTATTTATGCGTGTGTGTGAAGGTATTGAGTGTGTATATATATGTGTGTTTAGGCGAGTGGGTGGGCATGTGTGTGTGTGTGTGTGCATGCATTTCACCACTTATGCTTTTGTGTTTTTTCCCCCTTGATATTCATAATATGCATATTTTCATATGAATATAACATGCTTACTGATAAAATACAGCTGCAATGAGAAAGACAGGTGTTTGGAAGGGCTGAATGTAGAACTAGCCTGCGTGCCCAATGTGTGACCCTTTGAAAATAAAGTGTGTTTACTCATTTGTACATAAATATCAAAACGATGGGTTGCTATCAAATACTTAAATGTTATAATAATGGTTTTATGTCAAGTATGTCACAATAATTGGTCACTGTCAAGTACCCAAACTTTAAAATAACTGGTCACTGTCAAGTATTCACATTTTAAAATAACTGGTCACTGTCAAGTATCCACATTTTAAAATAACTGGTCACTGTCAAGTACCCACATTTTAAAATAACTGGTCACTGTCAAGTACCCACATTTTAAAATGACTGGTCACTGTCAAGTACCCACATTTTAAAATGACTGGTCACTGTCAAGTACCCACATTTTAAAATGACTGGTCACTGTCAAGTACCCACATTTTAAAATAACTGTTCACTGCTTAGTATCCACATTTTAAAATAACTGGTCACTGCCTAGTATCCACATTTTAAAATAACTGGTCACTGTCTAGTATCCACATTTTAAAATGATAAGTGGGTTGCTGTCAAGTACCCACATTTCACAATGATGGGTTGCTGTCAAGTACCCACATGTCACAATGATGGGTTGCTGTCAAGTACCCACATGTCACAATGAAGGGTTGCTGTCAAGTACCCACATGTCACAATGATGGGTTGCTGTCAAGTACCCACATGTCACAATGATGGGTTGCTCTCAAGTACTCAAACTTCACAATGATTAGTTCCTGTTAAATACATAAATGTCAAAATGATGTGTTGCTATTAGGCACCTTAATTTCACAATGATGAATTGCTGTCAAGTACCACAACGTCACGTCGATGGTTTGCTATCAAGTACATACATGTCAAAATGATGGTTTGCTGTTAGGTACCCACATTTTACAATGATGTGTTGCTGTCAAGTAAATAAATGAAGGGTTGCTGTCAAGTACCCACATGTCACGATGAAGAGTTGGTGTCTAGTAAGTAACAATGATGGGTTGCTGTCAAGTACCCACATGTCACAATGAAGAGTTGTGTCTAGTAAGTAACAATGAAGGGTTGCTGTCAAGTACCCACATGTCACAATGATGGGCTGCTGTCAAGTACCCAAATTTCACAATGATAGTTCGCTTTTAAATGTGTCACAATTATAGTCTGCTTTAAAGTACCCAGTTGTAACAATGACAGGTAGCTATTCTGTACCTTAATATCAAACCAATGGTTTGTTGTATGTTGAATGAAATTCTGGTGTGGTTAACATACAAAGTAGAATCATTCAGACAATGACAATAGTCCCTCACACAATGGCAACAATCGCGCACACAATGACAACAATCCTCAAACAATGACAACAATCCCCCACACAATGAAAATAAAACCCTCACACAATGACAACAGTCCCTCACAAAATGACAACAGTCCCTCCCACAGAAGCAACAATAAGTAAAGGTAAAGTCGGGAGATGTGAACCAGCGTCATTGCACACGGTTATAAACCATAAGTGCTCTGCCACCAGTACGGACAGCTAATAAGAATTGTCCGCCTGTGTCGCCGTTCGCACGAAACTCTGTAACTACAGCAACATTCCTCCATTTACCCCAGAGTGTCACTCCGGCACCCTAGAGACTGGGTGAACCCCGGGAGCCGCCCGATTTCGAACACTGACCGTGGCCGCAGGGAGTCGCAGCTGGATTTGAAAGCCAGCCTCTTATCGACTGAGCTAACGCCGCCCCTAATGCAACAATCCCTCACATAATGACAACAGTCCCTCAAACAATAACAACAATCCATCACACAAAGACAACAGTTCCTCACACAATGACAACAGCTCCTCACACATTAGAAACATTCCTTCCAACAATGACAACACTCACTCACACAATGACAAGAGTCCCTCACACAATTAAAATATTTCTTCACACAATGGCAATAATCCTTTACATGATGACAATTACTTACAAAGTGACAACGGTCCCTCACAAAATGGCAATAAGTCTTCACACAATGACCACAATCCTCACACAATGGCAACAATCCCTCACACAATGAAAATACGCCAATACACAATGGCAACAATCCCGCACACAATGAAAATAAGCCTTCACACAATGACAATATGCCTTCGCATAAACACAATAATCCCTCACACAGTGACAATAATTCTTCACAAAATAGCAATAAGCCTTCACACAATGACAATACACCTTCACATAAACACAATAATCCCTCACACATTGACAATAATCCTTCACACAATGACTATCCTTTAACAATGATAACAATCCCTCACACAATGACAATAAGCCTTCACACAATGACAACAATCCTCACATAACGACAACAAACCATATATAATGGCGACAATCCTCAAACAATGACAATAAGCCTTCACACAATGACAACAATCCTCACATAACGACAACAAACCTTATATAATGGTGACAATCCTCAAACAATGACAATAAGCCTTCACACAATGACAACAATCCTCGCGTAATGATGATAATCCCTCACATAATGACACAAAGCATTCACACAATGACAATAACCCCTCACCCAATGACAGCAATCCCTCATACAATGACATAAATCCTTACATAATGACAAATATCCTTATACAATAAGTGGCACAGTTCTAAGATTTCCAGAAGTAGCTATGTGTGTAAACAGAAAAACACGGTCACAAATCTGCAGGTCAAACAGGCAGTTACCTGTTGTCTTATTCAGTTGTAGAGGATTCATTTATTTGCCTTATTTTATATAACTTGTACTCCAGTAAGCAGCTGCCAAGATACAGTGGAATATGCCAGGCAATAAATTGTGTAATATACTGTTGGTGTATTCTTTGTTCAAAAAAAAATGTTGCATATTTGTGTGCTCACCTCTTCGATGTTACGGATCCATGTTCTTATGTTGTCAAAACTTTTTTCATTGGTGATATCATAGACCAGCATAATTCCCTGCAGATGTACAGTAACACACATAATTAGTAGCACATATATGATCAACTACATTGACAGAGAATTAGTAGCACATATATGATCAGCTACATTGACACATAATTAGTAGTACGTATATGATCAGTTACCTTGTCTGACACATAATTAGTAGCACATACATATCAGCTACCTTGTCCGACACATAATTAGTAGCACATACATATCAGCTACCTTGTCCGACACATAATTAGTAGCACATACATGATCAGCTACCTTGTCCGACACATAATTAGTAGCATATACATGATCAGCTACCTTGTCCGACACATAATTAGTAGCATGTACATGATCAGCTACCTTGTCCGACACATAATTAGTAGCACATACATGATCAGCTACCTTGTCCGACACATAATTAGTAGCACATACATATCAGCTACCTTGTCCGACACATAATTAGTAGCACATACATGATCAGCTACCTTGTCCGACACATAATTAGTAGCACATACATATCAGCTACCTTGTCCGACACATAATTAGTAGCATATACATGATCAGCTACCTTGTCTGACACATAAGTAGTAGCACATACATATCAGCTACTTTGTCCGACACATAATTAGTAGCACATACGTATCAGCTACCTTGTCCGACACATAATTAATAGCATATATATGATCAGCTACCTTGTCCGACACATAATTAGTAGCATATTTATGATCAGCTACCTTGTCTGACACATAATTAGTAGCACATACATATCAGCTACCTTGTCCGACACATAATTAGTAGCATTTATATGATCAGCTACCTTGTCCGACACATAATTAGTAGCACATACATATCAGCTACCTTGTCCGACACATAATTAGTAGCACATATAAGATCAGCTACCTTGTCTGACACATAATAGTAGCACATACATGATCAGCTACCTTGTCTGACACATAATTAGTAGCACATACATGATCAGCTACCTTGTCCAACACATAATTAGTAGCACATACATGATCAGCTACCTTGTCCGACACATAATTAGTAGCACATATATGATCAGCTACCTTGTCTGACACATAATAGTAGCACATACATGATCAGCTACCTTGTCCGACACATAATTAGCACCATATACATGATCAACTATTTTGTCCAACACATAATTTGTAGCGCATACATGACCAACTATCTTGCTTTACACATGTTATATATATATTTCTCTGTCTTTTCCACACCGTGGAAATGGTGTTATCTGTTTACAAACATTCCTTATGCTGAGTGTGTAGGACGTTGCAATGTTGTAAAGGATGAGGTAACTAATATTTTGGACTCATACAGAGGTAAATATTTCTGAGTTATGAGGTAGCCAATATTTCTGAGTCATGAATTAGACAATACATACATACATAAGTATGTACGTACAAGTAGTAGCCTATATTTTTTTTATAATCTCTTCTAACAAGCACACACTCACCATGGCTCCCCTGTAATATGCTGTTGTAATTGTTCGAAACCTCTCCTGTCCGGCTGTGTCCCTGTAACACAAAAACCATAACTGCATTACTGTAATGTGGCTCGATCTAGGGTTTGATTGAAGTCATCTCATTGCTATACTGACGTTCTTAGTTACACAAAGTTACTAGGAATACACCAGACGACAAACACTCAGTTATTGATCTTTATTCGCTGTTCCAACAACTGCACTGTCTAGTCGCTCACTTGTGTTCTCGTTGTTGCTACCCATGGCTGATTTATTACATTTCTAACTATCTCACACTGTGATTCTCTCTGCCATTATTTTTCGGATCATACATCTGAATCATGTTAACAATTACATGTGGTCAGATGGTTTGTATTCTTCTCAGCTGATCTCTTGCATCCGACCGCACACATCCAGGTCCAAACTTCAACTGACTTCCTATCCTCTCTGGGTTCAAACCTTCTGTTCAAGTCTCACGCTTTCCCCGTACCTCTATTCACCCAACACGGGATACTCGAAACATGCTTTCCACACTTTCATCTTGTTTCACTGGTCCTCTGATCGTGCCCCCCCCCCCCCCCTCCAATCAGGAACTCTGGAATTTCCCTGAGAATTCACAACATTACAATTACTATTATATATATTTAGATACATGCGTGTGCTGTGTGTGTGTAATAGTTTGAATCCTCTAGTGCAAAAATACAGCAAGTCAGGCAGATAGAAAATCTAGTGAGCTATCTCAGAGAACAAATTCAGCACCAAAGATTAAATGAGCCTATTTTCTTTCCTTCCAATGACATGGACAGGAGAAAGGTGGAAGGAATCTCTTTGTCTAAGACAAACATGAAATGGAGTGGAGAAAGGAATCTCGTAAGGAGAAACATGATGTAGAGTGGAGAAAGGTGAAAGGAATCTCTTTTCAAAGGAGCAACATGACCTGGAGTTTAGAAAAATAAATGGAATCTCTTTTCCTAGGAGAAACAAGACACTGGGTGCAGAAAAATGCAAAGAATCTCTTTCCCCAGCAGAATCGTGACATGGAGTAGAGAAAGGTGAAAGGAACCTCTTTCCCTAGGAGATATAAGACACTGAGTTGAGAAAGATGAAAGGTAATCTCTTTTTCTAGGAGAACGAACAAACGAACAAACAAACAAACTTTATTTTCAAAGGGTCCAAATTGGGCAAGCAGGCCCTTCCAAAACACCCGTCTTTCACACTGCAGCTGAATTTTATCAATAAGCATGTTATATTTATATGATAATATGCTTATTATGAATGTCAAAAAAAAAAAAAACCCACAAAAGCATGGGTGGTAAAATGCACCACCATTTACCCACATAATACCTTCCTACCCACACAGACATGCACATTCCACATACATACATACAGACAGATGTACACATGCACATACAGACACACCCAAAGAAACAAATGCAGACACAGACATACATGTGCAGACCCAATCACACACATGCGACACACACACACAAACCCATTTACACATGCGGACACACACACACATATGCACAAAACACACACAGATTCACTCAGAGATACACAAACACACACAATCACACATACACACACACACACACGCAGACATACACACACAGACACACACAGGAAGAAGCATACGCAGACATTCATAAACACAGGCACACACCCAGACACATGCGATACATGAGATTATGTGAATTGGGAATAAAGATCTGCACAGTTAAGCATGGAAGCATGGGAAGCACACATAGTCTTAACCAGCAAAGGACTGGTACTATTAACCAAACAACGCTGATGAATATGTTTAGAGAGGAATCTGAGCACCTATGGATGTGTCCTGAGTGCTGTGAATATAATCTAACTCATAACTCAGCTGACATTCTCTGCAAACAAGTCAACAACTCAAAGACCTGACATTCTCTGCAACAAGCTAACAACTGAAAGACCTGATCTTGCTGTAGCTTGCATCAAGAAACAGCAATGTGGACAGAGAGTGATCACCTACATTTGAATTGTAGTGTTTAAATATATCTTCTTCCGTTCTCACCCTTAAAAGGGCAGTTGACACGCTGTGTTATAGCTTACAGCTAGGCTGTGATATTATCACCTAACAAGCCAACACATTTGTTTAATCAATGATGATACTACTGTTGAATGAGAGATCTGTCAGCACAAGCAGATACAACTCACAATTAATACCATGACTGCTGAGGTGGTAGTGGGTTTAGTCAATGTTGACACTACTGCTGAATTAAAGAGATCTGCCAGCACAAGCAACTACAACCACTCACCAGATCTGCAGCTTGATTTTCTTCCCATCTAGCTCTATTGTTCTAATTTTGAAATCAATACCTGAAACACAAAAAGGCACATCAATAATGGCAATCAACGCATCGCTCCCCTTTTCAACCAATCGCAGAAAACTGTTCACTACTAACAACAACAAAATGTGGCTCACAAATATTGATCATCCTGAGAATATTGTGTTTAGTTACCTTGAACCGACATTCTACATCTAATTAATTACATAACATAACCCTTGACCCGTCAGGGTCATGAAGATATTGTGATGGAAGCACTAGCACATCAAACCTGCCATCTTTTTCTGTCTTCCACTTGATGAATAAGTTTATGATAACTCAATTCCAAGATCTTTTGGGCCCTTCTCTTTTCTGACTACCCCTAATGTTCTTTGAAGCACAGTCTTAGCTTGTGACATTTCACCACTGCCAAGAGAGGCTCCTGATACCCTGCACATTTGTATACTTTGTCTTTGACACATTTACTTGTTTTGTGTTTTAAATAACTAATTCGTAAAATATGTCTATATAGCATTTACATTCGAAAGCCTGAATCTTCCTTTCCATTTCCATAGTGAGTGTCCAATTCTCAAATTCAGACAATACGAGTGATTTGTAATTATTGACCTTAACTGTGACGGTGATTTTGCTCTTCCACATCATATTTAGCTGGGATATCGTGGATGTTGCAATATTAATTAACGTCACAACTACCACACACACTGACACAACAACCACATACATACTGAAACAACAACCAATGACACAATAACCACAAACACACTGACACAACAACCACACTGACACAACAACCAAAGACACACTGGCACAACAACCACACTGACACAACAACCAAAGACACACTGGCACAACAACCACACTGACACAACAACCAAAGACACACTGACACAATAACCACAGACACAACAATCACACACACACTGACACAACAACCACAGATGAACTGAAAAAACAACCACATACACACAGATACAACAACCACAGACACACTGACACAACAGCCATAGACATATTCATAAAACAACCACAAACACACTGATAAAACAACCATAGACACACTGACACAACCATCACAGACAAACTGACACAACAACGACAGATACATTGACACAATATTCACAGACACACTGACACAACAACTACTGACACACTGACCACAGACATAGTGACACAACAACCACACACACTGACACAACAACCCTTGACACACCGATAAAACAACCACAGACACAACTACATACACCTTGAAACAACAACCAGTGACCACTGACACAGCTAGAGACACACATACAAAAAGAGATCACAGCAACAAGAACCGCGGACCACTGACAAAACCAGTGACAAAACAGCAAGTGACCACTAACACAAAATGTTGCGACAGTGTCATTAATAAAAATTAATTGCTAAGGAGGACAAGCAGCATCCCCTAGCAAAGAAATAACCACTGAATTCAACTGATACACGTATACATTAGTGAAACATTTACGATTATTTCAGTATCAAAATATAACCAGAATCTATAACTTTTCTTCTCCAAACAATGTTAATTCCTTTACAATTTATTTTAGCATTCATTTCAATATGTATTTGAAAAGTTTTAACAAGTCAAGCCGCTGAAAAATCTCTTAAACTCAGTACTTAAACCTTATGGTGCTACCCGGCTATAAGAATTATTTTTAAATATTTTTTATATTTACTGACAGTGGCAGATGGCTCTGCAATTTGTACTTTAATGAGCTGAAGGAAGTTTAATGTGTATGTTGTAAATGTTTTGAAATATGTGATCAGTTTTTTAATATTCTGTAGATAATTGTTTATTCTGTTAGGTTTAGTTGTCTTCAAACATACTGATATATGGTTGCTAAGAAAATGTTTTTAAAGTTATAGTTAAAAAATAATTTTCGGAATGTTCTGAAAAAGTATTTTTTCCCCTACATTCCAAATTTTTCTAATTTAGCTTACAAATACATATTTTGGCTCAGAACTGACCTAGAGGCATGAATGAGGTACCTTCAGATTTTCTTTTTCCAGGTGGAGTGCAACTTTGACAAAAATTTTGAAAATTTGACCAAAGTATCTACAGAAAGAGATCACTGACACATCAACATGAGACCACTGACAAAAAGAGAGAATAATTAACAACTGGTGGTCACTGACAAAAATATAGAGCACCCAAACAACTGGTGATCATTGACAAAAATATAGAGCACCCAAACAACTGGTAGTCACTGACAAAAATATAGAGCACCCAAACAACTGGTGATCACTGACACAAGAACTGATGACCACTGGCAAAAACACAGTCACACAGCGTTGACACAACAACAGGTGACCTCTGACTGTCAGAGACCTAGTTTATTATCTACTTACTCTGGCTCGTTGGGTCGACCAGCTAACAGACCTAACTACCCTATAACACACTTAAAACACACCCCTATTACTCCTTGAGTACACACATAATTTTTAATGTACAAAGAACAATTCAACTTAAAGCAAGCCTCAACGGAATGGACATTCCTTGGTCCGAAGTGCCGGTGGTGATAGCTTTTATATTCACTAATTCACCCCGAGCCGTGATCTAAGTATGAGTGAACAGTGTTAATGCCATTTGTTCATACATAACGATTCACTATTAATACTATTATCACACCTACTCATCCCGTAACCGAACTGGCCTCTGACATTGACACAGAGATCACTGTCACATAAGAAATTACTGACACAAACAAGAGATCACAGGCGCACACAAAATTTCACTGATACAAACAAGAGATCACTGATAAAAACAAGAGATCACTGACACAGACAAGAGATCACTGACAAGAACAATAAATCACTGACAAAACAAGAGATCACTAACAAAACAAGAGATCACTGACACAAACAAAAGAGATCACTGACAAAATCAAGAGATCACTGACACAGACAAGAGATCACTGACAAAAACAAGAGATCACTGATACAAACAAGGGATCACTGACAAAATCAAGAGACCACTGACACAAACAAGAGATCACTGACACAGGCAAGAGATCACTGACAAACACAATAAATCATTGACAAAACATTAAACTATTAAACAAAAGATCACTACAAAAACAAGAGATTGCTGACACTGACACAAACACGAGATCACTTATTGACTTATCACTGCAAGAGATCACAGATACAAACGAGTGGTCAGTGATACAAACAAGAATTCAATGACACCAACAAGAGATCACAGAGAGAGAGAGAGAGAGAGAGAGAGAGAGAGAGAGAGAGAGAGAGAGAGAGAGAGAGAGAGAGAGAGAGAGAGAGAGAGAACTGACGTGATTGTTCGTCTCCCCCCTCCCACTTCTGTCAGAAAAAAAAAAAAACTAAAAAAACTTCACGGAAGAACAGTTGGGAGAACATCCACCAACAGTTTTCCTGCCTACCATAATCCCAGACCGAAATCTTACCTATGGTTGAAATAAATGTAGAATTGAAAGCATCCTCAGAGAATCTAAAGAGGATGCAAGTTTTGCCGACAGCCGAGTCGCCGATGAGAAGTAACTTGAACAAATAATCGTAAGTCTTGGCCATCTTGTCCCCGGAACCTGCTTCATTTGCATAAACCAAGCTGACGTCTGCTGGCGGTGTCACTTCCGGCCCGCCCGGTGTCGTTGCTTCACTTTCAGCACCCGGAGATTTTTTCCTCGTCCGCCTGGTCCAGGCTGTACTACCTGTCCCGGCTGCTCCTTGAGTCATTTAGGTAGATTACAGATTTACAGAACATATACGTAGAAGGGCGTGTGAATAAAAGCTACCGATTCCTTGCTAATGTCATAATGTTTTTCTTTGAATTTCTATCGATATTGAAATTACTACATAAAATTACTACTTAAGCAAGTAAACAAACTTCTTCTTCTTCTTCTGTTTATTCTTCTTCTTCTTCTTTTTCTTCTTCTCCTCCTTCGTTTTCTTATGCATTCCGAGCCCTTGAAGTTCATTGCTGCAGATATCACCCGCCTCCACTCATCTCTCTGGCTGGCCTTTTCTGTCCAGCTGGTGACACCATGTGTTTGCAGGTCAAGCTGGACATTATCTCTCAATCGTTTTTTTGGTATACCTCTTTGTCTACAACCATTCAGATCCTGTATGTACACAGTTTTTACCTTTTTGCCATCAGACATTCAATATTTTTCCATCCGTAACAGTAACAGTCATTCAGACACTCTGTGCACCCCTCACCACTTGATTCCTTTGTTTGCCGGAATGGCATCCTTTCCTGCAGGTCTCCGTAGCACACAATTGTTTACAGGGTGGGGAAGCTGGCCATACGTTCGACCCTACTCCTTTCTCATCCGTGCTTGGTACCGGCTATGGTGGAGATTTCCTGGCTGCTTAACTACTTGATTCTCCTAGAAAAAGCTGGCGAAGATGCCTCACATATAAATGGCTAAAGAATCACCCTGTTGCAAAAGACACTAGAAAAACAGTGGAAAGGGTCAAAAGGTTGGCAATCGCCAGCTGGAAAATATCAGCTGCATGCTGTCCAGGGTAGGTACCGCATATCTGCCAAGTGTCTAGAGGTAAATGATTAATGCTTCACCCATATATATATATATATATATATATATATATATATATATATATATATATATATATATATATATATATATATATATATATATAAAGCTCCCGAATCGACTTTCTGGCGACTGTGCTGACATCTAAACACGTGCATCAGTCTTTTTATTGACGAACACGATGTGATGAAGCAGATGAATTGGTGATTACAGAACTACTGTCCGTCTAATACCCCAAGATACTCATTGGGCTATATTCAGAATAACGGTCCCAAATTATCGAGGCAGAAAATATACCCTAACAAGGCCTCAGTCACGTGTCAATTGCGCACTTCCGGCGACTTAAATTGCGCACTTCCGGCGACTTCCGCCACCGCCGAAAGTATCCCAGACGCCGCTCATGCGGCGTGGATTGGGGCTAAATTAGATAGCCCATCTCTTATCGATGGATATCTGCCGCACTGTTCCAGAAGGTTGTGATACTTCGATGCGGTAGCTGGTCTTACGATCAGATAATAGTACGTCCATATTTGCCCAGGGATCTCCACTGTCTCCAATCTTCGTCAATATCTCTATCTTATCTCCATCTTCAAGATCACACTAAAACGGTTGAGTGGCAGAGACATTCATCTATTGAATGCGCATGACATCCTTGTGTATTGACTGGGCAGGAACAGAGCTGAACTACAACAGGAATATGAATGTAAATCCTGCTAGTGCAACATCTCAGCGCCCACAAATAATCCATCCAAAGCGACAGTCACCTGGTTCTCATAAAATAATCCCCTTTCCACAGCACCAATGATAATGGTAAAACTCTATGGCGCTGACGTTAAGAGATCTAATTCCATGAAATACCTGTGTGTAACATATTAAGAGATGTCTACTATTTTGTTTAAAAAAAACAAAAACACGTAGAGCCAGTTATAACCAGAGCCAAGAATGGTCTATCCGCAGTAAAAGGTATGACCTCTGCAAGCTTTGAACAACGGCTGCTTGTAATGTTTTATCATAGGTTAGTTCTCTCAACCGTTGAATATACACTGGCCATCGTGACAGTCAGCACCACACAGATGAACAGATTCGAAACAAACTGAAAACGAGGCAATGCGCATTATTATTCTTGGACGCACTAGAGACACCTGCAAATCCATTCGATACCTCACGGGTTTCCCCACAGTGGGCAACAGAATAAAGCAAAAACCTCAACCCCATCAAACTGTCCAGAGCCACTGCTTTCCTCAAGGTGAAATCATGCTACAGAAATATACTTCATGACGAATTTTTCAAACTAAAAAAAGGAGACTTAGAAAAGGCAAATCCTGGATGAGTCGTGTTGTCCAACATGTTTGCCGCCTTACTGACGTAAATCTCGGAACTGAATGAATACTTTTGCTTGCTGTTCCAATTATTAACATTACAGTTCATATCAAACTTGATAGAAGCTGCAGAGAGCATATTTCTTGCACAGCAGACACGTTAGTCAGAACACGATTGGTGAAACACTCACTATGGTGATGCTGTAGTTAATAGAATTGGGGTCAATGGAAGTACACTGGCGTTTCTGACGAGCATAATGGGGAAAACAATCATGGCGACGAACGGCACATTTGTTGCTACACAAGCAACCTCACAATGGGAATTGGCTGTAACAAGTGCATTAGCATCACTGGGGGTACTCAAGAGTTCATACACACACGTGCATTCGTATTGACTCAATAAATATAAGAAAACCCAGGCTGGGTTTATTAGACATGAATGGATTGTATGTATGACTGGATATGACTGACTGACTGTCTACCCCACAGGACATCACACAAGCGATAAACACCCTATGACACAATGTGCCAATGTGGGTGAGGATCACAGTGGAGAGGTCCCAGAAACCGCGTTCAGACAACTGGCCATATTTATGGTCTGCCTATATTGTGGCCCCTGGCACAGCCAGGGTGGGACTTCAAATAACAAAAAATTCCATCCTAAAAAGGACGTAAAGATTAATATAATAACAAACAAACATACTGGGTACTTTACGAACAGCTGGTTTAACCTTAACCTTTGTGTCAGGTCATGATGGTGTTCGGATTCTGCTGTTTATCTTGCAGCAACTGCGGTTGCTACGGCTGATAGGGTGTTTGACAGAAGTTATGCCATCAATGTCAAGCGTAGCACTTACCACAAAGACGAATACATCAAAGGATATGATTCCGGTTTCTCATGAAGACTAACGGACATGGATTTGCATTCTGGAGCTGCTAGGAATGAATATGTCACAAAGGGAACAAGACGTTGGTTAATCAATACAGAACAGGCGTCGTCAGTCGGTTTACATTTGTAGGGTTACTGAGGACGTCGGAGCACCCATGAATCTGTCCGGAGTGCTGTGATGAGAATCCTTACCAATTAGATACAAATAGGTATTTTTGAATAACCCAGAAAGAATTAAAAGATAAGTAAGTATGTTCACAAAACCAAGACAACTGGTCACTCAAGACGATCATAGACACACAAGACAATCATAGACACAAAAGACGACCGTAGACACAAAAGACAATCGCAGACATACAAAACAACTGGTGATACAAGTACACAGGAAATGCAAATACACTAAGACACGGTCACAATGATCGAAGAAGAGATCGAAGTCTGATAAAAGATCAAAAAGATGATTCAGAACAAAGTCAGCACTTCTAACTATCCTTCTATTCCGTTCTTGTAGAGTAAATCCGGGGTAACTAGACAATGAGATCACCGTAGAGAAAACTTTAGGACATGGAGAAATGGGGCCAGAGCTGCAACATGATTGTTATATTCACAAGCACGTCTGGCATTAAGTGATGTCCTAGATATACTTGTTTGTCGACGCCAACATTACAGTACCTATCCTATGCCAGTATGCTGCCAACACCAACATACCGTGAATGCTAAAATAACATACTCATTTGCAGTTATCTACTTAGCTAGTCTAGATATGCTTTCCATGAAAATCTATTGAAGCCACTCGACCAAAGTGTCCCACTCCCCGAGCTCTGACATTAGAAGCAAGGTGAACCTTGGCCTGAACTGTTGTAAAACCAATTTGAGTGGAGGAAATGTGAAAGTTCATTTCCTGTTCTCATGAATATCAACCGAGTTTTTCCCTTCCCTAACAAAAATGTCTCGACAATGATGGTTGTTCTGCATCTCCCCCCCCCCCCCAATCATCCTCCCTTTTTGCTCATCTTTTGGTTCGAAAGGTGCTGTTATCAGGCGGACTCAGGTGCTTTGATGCCCCCCCCCCCTCCACACCGCTCACCTTCTCCTCCCCCATCAACAATTTTTTGAAGTAGCAGAGCCCTCTCACCCACCCCACATTTTCCACCAGAGATAGATGATGTCTTTTCAAGTGTGTGTGTTTATAGAAACTGTTTGTTTACATTTAATATAACTTCAAACATTTTATTTTGTCTCTGACACTGAGCACATCATAATTATTTTCTTTTAAATCCGAACTTGTGAAACATGGAGGAAACACACGTATCTGAAGTGCAGACAGAGGTGTGTCAGTGAATTTGGGTCACACATAAATTGCCTACGGAACAGACACAATCGTTAGCTGTACCACTATCAAAGAAAGGGAATGTGAACACCTGCAACAATGTTATAAATACTTGTTAACAGAATACGAGCAAAATGTGAAGATATACTAGGCAAAGAACAGGCGGTTTTCTGAAAAAATAGAATCATCTCAGAGCAAATGTTTAATATTATAACAATGACAGAAAAAAAAACCACACACACACACACACCCACCCACCCCCCCCCCCCCCACACACACACACACACACACACACACACACACACACACACACACACACACACACACACACAACGTCAACGCGACCTACACCACAACTGCAATGACTTCACGCAGGCATTCGACCGTTTGTGGCATGCTGGTTATCAAAACAAGAGCGGCCAAGATTAACAGAATCGCACGTTGAGCAATATTTCTCCAGACATACGAGTTTGAAATAACCCATATTGAG